CCCCAAAACCCCAAAACCCCAAAACCCCAAAACCCCAAAACCCCTGTTTAAAATACCTTAAATGAAAATATAATTGGGCATTATTAATCTCTAAAATGGATAGTGAGCAATCTTTTTCAACCCACGGTTGTAACTCTTCCCTCCCGATGAAGCAACGGTTCATAGCTGAGGAGAAATTTGTTGTGACAGATGACCCAAATGAGGATAACCCTCCATCATATTATTTCAATGGATATATAACTTATGTGTTATTCTGTATGCCTCTTACTTTCTTAATGACATTCATCCCAGAATGGAACACAGGGTCAGAACTTTATGCTGATTTTTATGAGCGTAGGACTTTCTACACTCAGTACTTTAGCCTGGGAAAATTCTTATATTGGATGATCCTTGCTCCAATTGGTTTCGCCTTTGTTGTTACAATTAATCTTGACAACGAGAGGAGAACTCCATTCACCTCTAGAGATGGATCATTCAAAGATATTAAGAAGTTAATGCTTGTAGCTCCTATTTTGTTCTTTGCTTCTGCAAATATCTTCTTAAGGGACACTTATGATATGAGAAGAGACTGTCCTGTTATCGATACTAATTTTATCCAAGAATCTTATGAAAAAGGATTCATCCAAAACTGGGAGCCTTCTACTAATTTCGAAACCATAGGAGAGCTAGCTCATGATCATAAAGAACTTCCAGAAATTTTCGATTCAATTACGAAGAATCTTGAGGAGTTTGAAGATGTAAGATGCCATACCTATACTCGTTCTGAGGTATTCTGGTATAACTTTGTCCACTTAATTTTCTTCTTCCTTGGTCTAAATTTTACCCATCTCGATCAAGGTATCCTCCAAGATTTCACTCTTGACTGGGAAGTTATGAAGAACTGGCCTGCAATGCTTTGGGGAGTATTCATTTCTCTCATCGGATTCCTCATTTTCACATTATACCACCTGTTTGTACTATATAGAGAATCAGAGGTTCTTGGCTACTACTTGATCTTCTTAGTTCTTTATATCTCATATTTCGTAATCAAGACGTGGATACTAGGAAGTAAGAGAGAACTTCATATCCACCATTATGTCCTAGGATTCTCTGTTGTATTGTTCTGTGGATACCAAAGTTATTATGTGACCATCCTTGGAGCTATTTTTACAGGGATCTTCATTGAAGGCATCTCCCGTTGGGGATTTGACCCTATTTGGGAATAAGTTACTTGTTTCAACATCTATCGATAATTTAGGGGTTTTGGGGTTTTGGGGTTTTGGGGTTTTGGGG